GTGATGACTTATGTTGGAGAGGATGTGGAGAAAGTGGAACACTCCTCCACTGCTGGTGGGAGTGCAAACTCATACAGCCACTTTGGAGATCAGTATGGCGGTTCCTCAGGAAAATGGGAATTAGTTTACCACAGTACCCGGCAATCCCCCTCTTAGGCATATACCCAAAGGATTCACATCCATGCAACAAAGACATCTGTTCAACTATGTTCATAGCAGCACTATTTGTAATAGCAAGAACCTGGAAGCAACCTAGATGCCCTTCAATTGAAGAATGGTTAATGAAGATGTGGCACATCTACACAATGGAATACTACTCTGCAGAAAAAAATAATGGTATCTTGAAATTCGCAGGCAAGTGGATGGCACTTGAAGAAACCATCCTGAATGAGGTAACCCAGTCACAAAAAGAGGAACACAGTATGTACTCACTCATATATGGATTTTAGACCTAGATCAAATGATCACCAGCCTATAATTCACATCACCAGAGGAACCAGGATACAAGTTGTATTCTAAGAGATTCATATAAAGTCCCTCACAGAACTGGGAAGGGACAAGTCCCCCAGACCTCAGGTATAGTGGGGGAGGACAGCTAATGGAGAGAGAAGTAGGAGAAAATGAGAGGGAGGAGAGGAAGGCATGTGCGACCAGGAGGATTGAGCCTGGTTAGGAATGGAAAATAGGAAAGAGAGAGAGAGACAGAGACAGAGAGAGAGAACATAAAAGAGGGAGCCAATATTGGTTTGAAGATAAAGTTGAACACAAAGAAAGGTCGTGGGAACTACAAGACTGCTCCCAACTAACAATCTCAGCTTCCGTGGAAAGGCTATCATAAATGCCCTTCCCGGAGAGTGAGATCAACAACTAACTTCTCCATGGAGTCCTCAACTAATGCCTGTTGAAAACAGGAGCAAACACCCATACATAAACACTGAGTCAAACTAGAACCCAGAAGCAGATGGAGAGGACAAGACTAAGTTTAAATACAAAGCCACCCTCAACCAGAAGGAGGGGGGGGCCACGGCCCACAAAACCAGGAGCCGGGCAGCCCACCGGCGCCCCCCCCCCCCCCCCGATTTCCGGCCCACCCCCCAGAGCGCAGCCCACCCAACCCCCCCCGAGGCGGGCGCCGGGTCTCCCCCCGCCACCAAAAAAACTTCCTTATCCCAACCCCCCCCACGAGGGACGTCCCCCTCCTTTTAGAGAGGGGAGGGCGCCCCCCCCCACCCCCACCCCCCGCACCCTCTCACCCCCCCCCCCCCCCAGCCCGCCCCCCCCCCCATATTTTTGGGTGGGGGGGGGGGGGGGGGGGTGTGTGTTGGGGGGGCGGGGGGGGGGGGGGGGGGAAAAAGGGGGGGGGGGGGGGGGGGAACGGGCTTGGGGGGAGGGAGGGGAGGGAGGGAGAGGGAACTGGGATCGACATGTAAAATAATTAAAAAAAAAAAAAAAAAAAAAAAAAAACTTTGACTCCAAAATTTAAGTTGAAGAACAAGTTACTGGGGAAAAGTATTTCTATTTTTGTTTCCACAGAAAATGAAAAGATGTGGATTCCTTCCAGACTAATGTGGTTTGATCACACCAGACCGCCTGAAACAGAGTACAAGCTGATCCTACATTCCAAACAGCTGGACAAAACAGCCCTACAGACTACAGCTAGGATATCTGAATCTTCTTCGAATCCCCCAAGACAGCGCCCCTTACCAGCAGGAAGTAGTTTGGAAAGAACGACGCCCAAATTCCCAAATATTGTGTATAAATGTTTGTTTTCATTTAATTGGACTTTGTTATATAAAATTAAATAAAAAATACTCTATATGCAAAAAAAAAAAAAGCAATATAGAAGACTGGATGTGTTGGATAGAAATGACGGTGCAACAAATGGATCCTGGTGCTGCTTATGAAAACTACAATATCTGATGTGCACAATAAATCAGGCAGATTAGGCACTGCCAAAGGGGGGGGGGAAGATTGGCAGATGGGAAAACACAGCAATAGAAATTTATCCACAGTGAAACACACACATGCGCGCGCGCACACACACACACACACACACACACGCATGAAAGAGACACACACACACACACAGAGAAACAGACACAGAGAGAATACATAACAACTTCACACGAACTAAAGAGCAAAGCTGTTAGTTAAGAAGACTCCAGGCCCAGATGATCTCATCTATGAAATCTACCAAGCATTCAAAGAGAACTCAATTATCAATTCTCCAGGAAATCCAAGAAGAGAGAACATTTCCTCATTTTACAAGGTAAGAATCAATCTAAGATCAAAGCCAGATAGGGATATTAAAAAAGAAACACCCCCTTAATAAGATTTTAGACAATTAAACTATATACCAAGAGGATAGACATTAGCACAAACTAACATTTTTCAATGGGATGCAAAATAGCATAACCTTCGACATGTGCAATTCACCGTATTAATAAACTAAAATGGGCTGGGTGGTAGTGGTGCACACCTTTAGTCCCAGCACTTGAAAGGCAGAAGCAGGCAGATCTCTGTGAGTTCAAGGCCAGTCTGGTCTACAGAGTGAGTTCTAGTACATCCAGGGCTACACAGAGAAATCCTGTCTCAAAATAAATAGATAGACAGATAGATAGATAGATAACTCAAAAAGTAATAAACAAACTAAAAGGAAGCTTTTTGATCATCATCCTAGTGCATACAAATAATTTTCCCACACCTAACATCAATGCCTAATAAAAATTCACAGCAAACTAGGTCAAGAAGGTCACTTCTCAGCCCCATAGGAATGAAGTTAGAAAGCATCTAAGAGAACCTGTATCCAGTACACTCTGTGGCAAAAAAAAAAAAAAAAAAAAAAAAAAAAAAAAACAAAAAACTAGGTGATTTTTCCAGGGGATCAGTAATAAGAGGAGACATCACTATTCCTATCTAGCATTGTACTAAGAATTAATAGGGCCCCATCTTGAAAAGAAAGAAGTGAAACTATCTTTGTGGTGGAGGACATCTTAGAGAATCTATTTTAAAAAAGTCACCAGAAGTAATCAAGTTTAGCAATTAGCATTCAAAAACTGATTATACCTTTATATAGGTAGCACTGAGTAGCCAGAAATTTAAATACAAAATAATCAATACCATTTATAATCATGCCGAAAGTACAAAATGCTTCCATATAAATCTGACACAAAATGTGAAAAGCCTGCACACAAGACAGAATAACACATGCTTGAAGAACCTGAAGTGGACCCAGATTTGGAAGTAACATGATTGTCAGGGATCGACTGGGAAACTCAGATCAGGAAGATGTCAATTTTGCCCCAAACTGACTATATATATAAAACTCCAATCAAAATCTCAACTGCATTTTTTCTTTTTTTGAAATTAACCAACTAGAATAATTAGGGCTAGAGAGATGGCTCAGTGAGTAAGAGCACTTGCTGTTCTTCCAGGGGACCTGAGTTTGGTTCCCAGAATATATTTCAGATAGCTCACATCTATCTCTAATTCCAGCTCCAAGGGAATACAATGCCTCTGGCTTCCACAAGCACCTGCACTCACATGTACATCACACATACAAAGTGAATAAAGTAGGAAAGACCTAGGCTATCCAAAAGAATATAACCAGAGAACTTATCTAGGGGACACCAGGGCTATTGCACATAGACCTACTGTGAACAGTTGCACATAAGGCCATGTCCAGACATCTGCATTCTTCTCTTGGAGTGGATACAGAGGAGTGGAAGGGCTGGAGCATGAAGCAGATGTTTGTGTGAGTTTTCAGGAAATGCCAATGCCATGGGATTGGTATTCAATGAAAGAAACAGATGGAGCTGAGCAGAAGCCTAGATAGAGACCTTCAATGTCCACTGATTTCAGAGACACAAAGACAACGGAGTGGTCTCACCACTGAGCTGTGCCGAAACAACCACAAATCAACAGAAAGAAACTTTGATTTGTATGCAAAAGTTAAGTCAGGGAATGCTGGACTCCACTGTAAAATGTACAACTTCTCAAAGATATTCAAACAAGGTCTCTTAAATATGACACAAAAAATGGTCTACCAAAGAAAGGACACTGGTAAGCTGGACTTTGCTGATGAGGAATTGGTTTTTATTGAATGACACAGCTAAGACAAACCACATATGGGAGGAAGCATTTTTAGATCATTTATCTGATGAAGTCCTTGTATCCACAATGCACAGAGAAGTTTCTATCATCAGTGGTAAGAAAACACACTAACCAAGTAAAAAGTGGCTAGATGATTTCAACAGAAGCTTAACTGAAACAAGTTACAGGGCAAATTATCACACAAGAAGATTCAGCATCAGAGATGTGCAAACTAAAATTGCTCTACAGAGCACCATGGTTCACCCACAAGAATGACTAAGGTATCAAATAGCCATACCTTCTGTGGATGAGATTTTGAGGAGCTGAGTTCCCTCACTGAAGGTGGAGACAGCACTTTGGAAAAGGATTTGGCATTTCCTGAAAACTCACACAAGCCCAGCCCTTCCTCTGAATTTACCCAAGAGAAGAACATAGATGTCTGGTATGAATAGTACTACTATTCATAGTAGTTCTATAAGCAATTGCTGGGAACTGTCCACAGCTCCAGTATTTACCAGCATGGGGACAGAAACAGCAGTATGCCAGGCAGTGCACAGTAGAGCAGAAATACAGACATACACCGCCAAGCAGAGGCCTCATAAACGATCCCAAGGAATGTGGACATCTGTCTAGAAAGAACCAGATCATTTAGAGAAAGTTCCAGGAAACACAAACAAGCCTACAATGCTGGAAAGCACAGAAGTCATGTGGTAAAGGATGGAAGGCATTGCAGGGGCACACCAAGCTGACTTTGATGGGTGTGATCATTATTTTGATTGTAATGATGATAACTTCAGACAGAAAGAGAGAGACACAAAGATAGAGACAGCGATATTCTTTTTTTAAAGTCTTATATCCTCTGAGGAAAATACACATCTGGGAAGATTTTTCTAGAAAACAGCACTTACCTGTGATGACTGAGCTCTCAGAGCCTGGACAGCTTCCTAAGTACTGGTAGTCCGTGAAACTAAAGCTTCCGGAACTCTCCTCCTCAAGGGACTGAGAAATCTCTTGAATGTTTCCCATTTCTTGTAAGAATTCTTCTGACAAGGGACTCTCCAGGTCATCTGCCTCAAGTGGGGAGAGAGGACAGATGGGGCTCTCTGTGTCCACCATGTTTTCTGGAAGTGGCCAGGCAGGCCACAGAGTGCCAATCTGTGGGATGAAAACAAGCCAGAAGAGTGTTCACTTTCTCCTCTGAAATGAAAACACCACTTATCCTTGAAGAGCGATCTAAGTTCAAATCTCAACAGTGGCAGCACTGACTCTCCACTCTTGACTCTTGAAAACACAGTAATCAAATTCTCTAAACAGGGTCTGAGCAGATGGCTTAGCAGTTGTTGCTTTTGCAGGGGATCTGGGTTCAATTCCCAGCACCCACGTGGCAGCTCACAACCATCTGTAAACTCTGGTTCTAGGGAACTCTGACGTCTATGGGCATCAGGCACGTGTTTGCTGCACATATATCTATATATCTATCTATATTTAAGATGTAGATATAGATAGATCCAGGCTAAATTCTCAAACACATAAAATAAAGATGTATGTTAAAATCTATAAATAATAGACTCAGAAGGAGCCAAACTGTGTGCAGTGGGCAACCTTTCATTGCTTCCCAAATGTTCACTACACATGAGCTCAGCTTTCTAGCTATGGACAAAAACACAGTCTACGTCCCTAGAACATGCCTTCCAATGGGGGCACAAGTGGGGGCTAACTGAATGGGATGTTTGGTGGGGGTGAGAGACACAGCAAGAGCAGATGGAGAACAGATGCCTTGCATGGGGAAGCCCCAGAAGGATGGGCTGTTTTGGAGAAGAATGTTCCAGCCAAAAGAACAGCAAGTGCTGGTGCATGCCAGCACATTCTAAGACCAGCAGGGAGGCCACCAGGCTTGGTTAAGGGGCCCCAGGAGGGAAGGCGGGAGCAGTCAGCAAGAGTGTTGTGTGGTATTCATTCTTGTGTTTTCTTCTGTATACACCAAGGCCAGTCTATTGCAGACAGTATTAGAAAAGTTACATAGTAACAAGTGCTTTGTGGAGTTTTAAAAATATCTAAAGTAGGTAAGTCCCAGCAACGCCAAACTCCACTTTCCTGCAAGCAAAAACCAGTGTCCACATAGGAAAGTACATTCTCCATAATCTTAAATGACTTCCTATGATCTCCAGGCCAAAGTCCAATCCCCTTAGTGCATCAGTGCAGCCCATGGGAATATATCACACTAGGCCTCTTTGCTACTTCACCTGGGCAGCTTTCCCTGGACTGTCCCACTGTGGCCTTCAGGAGGCCCTGCTCCCAGCCCACCTCCTGGAGCCCGACAGACAGGGTCACCAACCACCCGGCCAGACTGATTAGATGACATTTAACTTCCTGAATTGTTTTCCCATCTTTCTCCCACAGAGAAAGCCACAGCTCACATCACAGAGAAGGCCAGAGGTGCTATGTACTAGCTGGGCTGTGGGTTCCAAACAGAGGCGCCCATGTCACATGGTGGCCATGCCAGTGCTGTGGGTTCCAAACAGAGCAGCCCCTGTCATGTGGTGACCAGCCAGTGTCTTCTAAAGAACATTTTCCAGAGCACCAAATGAACACAGGTACACTGACATTGTCACATTTTCCCATTTTCAAGTGCAATGAGGAAGGGGTGTTTTGGCTTCCTGGAGAAACGAACAATGGGTGCAACTACATGTTTTTGTGAACAATTCACATCTCAGGCTTGTAATCCTGACAGGTTATCAAAGGTGATCATTACAGACAGGGAGAAACAGCAAAGAATGATCACCATCCATCTGGGAGATGACATGGCTGGTAAAGTGCTTGCTATGAGGGAGTGAGGACCTGGGCTCATTCCCCATCACTGACATACAAAGCCTGGCAGTGTGCACCTACAATCCCAGCACTTAATAGGCCAGCTAATCCTAGCTGAATCCAAGTTCTGTGAGACTCCCTCTCAAAAGATAAGATGGAGAACCATGTCAGGAAGACAACTGATGTTGGCTTACACACACACACACACACACACACATACACACACACACACACACACACCATACACACACACATACCACACACATGCTATACACACACACATTCCCCCCACAACACCTTTATAGGATAAAGACAACCTTCTATTTTGTTTGTGTATGCTATACCACAAATCTGTGCCTACTTTTTATTTAGAGGGGCAGTGCTGGGAATGGAATCTAGGGTCTCACGCATGCTCAGCATACTCTACCACTGAGCTACCAACCCAACCCATCAATACACTTTATTCTGCATTGTATTGAAAGGACTACATAGTGGAATAAGCATAACACAAGTTATTTTTCACCATGAAGAAAGTTCAAAAGCCGCAATCATGAGATCAGACATAAAGTTCATCCCCATAAAAAGGCCAGAGCAGGGCAAAGTCTGTGCTAAGGAAGAGCTGTGTCTTCTCCTTTTTCTGTCCCTGCCATCAACAGCAGCCTTTATTCCCACAAACCAGGAGCACTGGGCTAAGGCCATGAGCTGGTTTCCTTGTCATGACCTTAGGGAGCTCCAGTGTCTTTAGAATCATGTCATCTGACTCTTTGGTTGCTTTTAAAGAATAACTGGATTTACCTAGAGAAACATTGCTCTTGCCATTCACGAGATAGATGGGATAATACCTCTTCATGAGTGGAGCAATCCTGAAATCCTGATGTGAACTCTGACCGCTGGGCCTGGCACCACAGAGAACACATCAGTCCTTCTTGATTCCAACCAGGGCAGATAAGAGCCTTTCCCTTTCAATGAGTCCCCCAGATAGATAACAGAGGTCACATGGGCATACCCCAACATGCTTGCCCTGAGGTTCCTGGCATGCCCTGGCATCACTGTAGACTGTTAGCAGCAAAAACATCCGGGCAGTCCTACCACAGTGTCCCACACCCACAGCTTACTGCCATTGATGGTTTACTAAGAAGAGCAGCCAGGCCAGCTAGTGACTGTGCCCTGTGTCCCAGATGTCCCAGAAGGATAGAAGAACGAGAAACAACCCCCCATCTAAACAGTGCCCACATGGCTCAGGGAATTATCTATCTTGCTTTCTTTGGACTAGTAATTGAATTACATAACAAAAATATTTCACTGGAAATTAGGAGGTTGACTATTTGAAAACTAGAGAACATTCAATAAAAAGGAAACAAAAGAAAGAGATACACAGTTTCATGCTGAAAGAGGACAAAGCACATGAGAATTTGGGTATTTTCCATTGACAACCTTTGATGCCAAAACATCCACTCTAGAATACTGGATGTTTAGGCTAACATGACTTGCCAATCACACAGTTAGCACTTACTGTGTGATGCCTCCAAGGTCCTAATTCTAGCATGCCCTGTTTACATATGGTTGTGTAACTTCTCATGTCTGTCTTTCCTACTAGATTGTATGTCTTGATAAAGCAAGGGGTATATTTGCCTGAGTTTTGCATGCTTCCATCCAAAACAATCTCTCACATGGAGCAGGTGTTCAGAAGCCATTTCTTCCACTTGGCACAGAACAATGTCATTACCTATGCCAGGTAGGCTCTGTGAGGTGAACAGCTACTACAGGTGTCACTCAGAAAGTGATGCAGCATTCAAAGACATCATCTGTGCAGTGAATATGGAGAACAGAAGCCAAGGGGAATTCTGCACTGGATATGTGACCAGCAGTTTCCAGAGGGAAGTATAATTTCAGGGACTGAAAAAGTTTATGAGAAGGGAAAAAGAAAATAAAAATCTCAGCAGAGTAATGAACAGAGAGGTTCCCAGTCTTAAAGCAAGAGCTGTGGGGAATAGGGATGCTGAGCATCAACCCCTCAGATGAAAGCAAAGGACTTGGCCAGGATGCTTCAGCAATCTGGTTTTGGGGTGAGAACCACCAGGAGCAGACAATGAACATGAAGAGGCATTCTGACTTTCCCCTTAGAACCACAAATGGCGAACTCTGGTTATGTTCTGTGACAAAGTGTGCCAAGGGAGAGTCCAGAAGTTCATTCCCCAGCAAAGGAGCCCGGTGTGGTGAAGCACACCTTTAATTTCAAAACTTGGAAGGTAGAGGCAGGTGGATCTCTATGGATTTGAAACCAGCCTGGTCTACACAGTGAGCTCCAGGACAGCCAGAGTTGCATGGTAAGACCCTGTCTCAAAAAAAAAAAAAAAAAAAAAAAAAAAAAAAAAAACCCTTAAACCAACAAAGTGACATTCACATGAAATCCTGACATGAAATCCTGGCTACTTGGAAGGCTGAGGCAGGAGGATTGTGACTTCTAGGCTAGTCTGAGCCACATAGAAATACCTTGTTAAGGAAGGAAGGGGGAAAGGAGAAGAGGAAGGGCTGGAGGGAGGGATGGAGGAGGGAGAGAATGGAGTAATTTTATCCTTTGGATGGAATAAAAGACTGGAGTTAGGATGTGGTTCAGTGTGGCCTAGCTTGGTTTAACACTGTCAGAGCTACTGAAACAGTTGAAGCCCTCTAAGAACAAAAGAACCTGGATCGTAACATTTGTCACAAAAAGCACCCAGATAGCCACAGGCTCTGACTTCCCCACTATGCCTTCTCTATTTGTTCCCTAGTTTACTGTATCATAGGATACCCTCAGCTCAGTGCCTCCCAGTGCTCAACACCAAAACCTAGAGAACCCGGTTTAACCCTTCCACTCCTAGAGGAAGCATGGTTAGGCTGAAGGGAGTGGTTGAAAGACCAAAGAGGAAGTCTTATCAGAGGACCATTGGTGCTGCAGGCAGCTCCCAGGTGGAGTTTTTTTCCCTCACCAAATCTAGATCACAAGCTAGTCATAGTTTGTGGATTCCTTTTGCATAATATAGTCATATTTACAAATCTTTGGGTTCAGTTTGTTGAGCAAAGGCCTTTAAATAACATTTCAGAATAAACAAACAAAAAGCTGCAGAAGCCCTCTGTGTACCTTCACCTATGACCCAGGTGCTCAACAAAATCGGTTAATCATTACCAACCATCCAGAGATCAACTCACCAATGGTCAGCGTAGACAATGCCCACAAAACATACGGGAAACCCGAGGCCAAGGTTAGCACGTAGCAATGGTAAAGAAACATGGGGCGTGTTTTAACAAATCAAATCCAACACAGTCCCAGTCATTTCCTCATCACCTAGATCTTGCCAAATGATGCT